CTTAAATACTAGAAAATGAAGTAAATATTGTTGGTAAATTTTGGGGAGTTTGTGCATTTCCTGACATTGTAAGTGCTTGTCAGAAACACAGGGTTGGCTTTTTTTGTAAGACAACATAGAAGGAAATAAAATGAGAACATCCTAAATAATGCATTAGAATTATGAAATCTACTAGTACTAGCAAAATTACAGTAGATGTAAATGCATGGTTTTCACCTCACTTTCTAGTGCTAAAGAAAACGGTACATTTAGAAATTCTTTCTTTCCAAAAGACAGCAAAAACGAAAAAGCAAATGAACTTATCCTGTTAATTGTTCTTAATAGCTTTCTGGGGTGAGAAACAACTTATAATACTGTTATTAAATTAGTAAGGTATGGAATAATTAACAAAAGTAATTTTGATAGCTGGAATGGCAAAACAAGGTTAACTCATAGGTAATACAGAACAGAAGAAGTTTCTTGTCTGCATTCTAGTTCTTTATTATTATTTCTCAATATCCGAGTAAAACTTATAGTATTCTCACCAGCTCTGAAAGAACTTGTTTTATTAAAATGTAACTCTAGTATTGTACTTAATAGTTTTGATGTAAGCTTAAAAAATGTCATAGGAACAATTCTTACAGGACCTCTCCCTTACTTCTTTTGTCAAATCAGTACTCCTACAAAAGTAATTTAAAATAAGAGTATTTCTGTTCATGCTAGGATTTGACAAAAGTAGCAAGGAAGATGATCTAAAGCTGTTTCTATGGAAGAAGGAAAGGAAAAAAAACCCCAAACTAACTCCTCTGTTTCTGGTATGAATTGGAGCATTCCCAAGGCTGGTCTGGATTTTTATGGTTTGTGACATTTCCTGTTTGTACATGCAAGTTATGTGTCTTTGCTGGAGTTTTTCACCGCAGACTGGTACAATTTTTGTGGAACTGTGCAGGATAGTGAATTTTCTTATTCCATGGAAGTCTTTCAAGGCAGTCTTTTCACACAGCTCTCAGATGTGTTCTGACCAAACTGAGCCAGGACAGAGACTCTGACCTGCTTATATCCAAACAATAACATTCTGACAAACCAAATATTACAGAAGCAACTAGATGTTCCTTCATTTTGCTGTGAGAACTGCAAAACAGAAATAAGTGACACTTTTAGGATGATTTGTTTATTTGGTTTTCTTTAATAAAAGCAGGTGCTGCTAGGTTTATATATGCTTGTAACTTACAGTTTTGCTTCTTAGTTTGGGGATGGAAAAGCTTCAGTATAAATCCAGAAGCATCACTTTGAAGAAATGGGGAAACAAACAGATTTCTGTAGTCATGTTTGTTTCCTTTTTTTTTTCATTCATGGTTCTGTGGTGGTCAGAGAGAGAAATAAGTCAACAAGCAAAATAAGAAATTGAAGATCCACTTGTATATGGTAATATATGGGGGAAAGCAATTGGATCTCCCCTTCCCATTAAGTTCATACAGCACTGGATGTTTGAAGTGGTGGGAAGGATTTATGTGGACTAAACAGAGATGTACACTGTGTAAATTCTTGGCAGCTTTCTTACCTCTCTGTAAAAGTTAGCCATTCCATTTTCAGCTGGTTTTGTAAGCCTCAAAACCAAAGGAAAGAATGTTTAGTTCAAAGATCAGAACCTTTCTAGACTAATAAAAATTATGTCAAAAAACATTGTAGGGGTATGCAAGGTAGGGGTAAAAGCTATCAAATACAAGGATCAGATGCTTTTGTCTATTTCGAATCTAGAAACTTATTATTAAAACAATTAATAATTTAAAATTATTTCTGACTGAGTATTTGGAAAGCTGTGTGCCTGCTTTTGATATTTATGCAGCCATCTAAGGTACTAATCCCAGTCCATTTGGAATCAGTAACAAACCTCCCATTTAAATTATTGTCTCCCTGTGTAGTTTCAAACACAGCTGAAGAGACAATGACTCAGAAAACTGTGAAGCTTTTGTTATTAGAAAAGGAACCATTCCTTTGACATTTCACAGTGACAAGCTAACTGCAGCAAAAAGAATAATATAAGTACGCTTCAGGCTTCAAAAAATCTTTATATATTTTATTTCTAAAATAACTAAAAACTGCTTCTCAAGTTAAACACTGATAATGTCTTTGCTATCTGCAGAATTGAGATCTTTATCAAACAGCTGAGTTCTTGTTTGTTTGGATTCGGATGGTGGAATAATTTAGATTGGAAGGGACTTCTGGATGTCATTTAGTCTGCTTGAAGTAGCTGTCATAACATCAGTCAGTTTGTTACATCAGTAGGTGGCCAAGGCATGGATTTGAAGAAGTTTTGAATATCTCCAGGAGTGGAGGTTGCACAAACTCTCTAGGCAGCCCATTCCAGTGTTTCATCACTTTGACCATCCTCGTGGTGAGAGAGATTTTCCTTGTTAACTGCACGGCATTTCTTGTATCCCCACCAGGCACTGCTGAGAAGCATCTGGCTGTAGGTTTTCTGTATCTTTTTGATAGGTAGTTGAAGACAACAAGCAGTAAGATCCTTCCTTTGCATTTTCTTCTTTAGACTGAGTGAGCCCAGTTTTCTCAGCCTCTGCTCAGGCATCATGTGCTCCATTCCTCTAACCATCTTGATGGCCCTTCACCGGAGTTTCTCTAGCAGTGCAAGGGCTGTCTTTAAACAGACAGCCCAAAACTGGCTGTAATGCTCCAGGTGTGCTCTCAGGAGTGCCTAATGGAGGGGAAGAAGTCATGTTCCTTGATCAGCCTGCTACACTTTTGTTGAGACCACCCAGGAGGCTGGTGGCTGCCTTGGTGGCAATGGTCAGCTTGCCCACCAAGACCCCCAGGCCTTTCCTGGAAAGCTGCTCTCTGGCTGGCAGGTGCCCTCTGCTGTACTGTTGTAACTGCACTATTCCATCCCATGTACCTTTGCCTTTGACTTTTATTGGGATTCATGCCAAGCCATTTCTCAAATCTGTCAGTAATATGCCTGTCTAAATAGTAGCTTTACCCTCCAACATGTCACCTACTCCTGTGGATTAGTATCATCCACAAAATTGTTGAGGTTGAATTCCATCCCCTCATCCAGGACACCAGTAAAGGTGCCATTGACCCTGGTAACTGGCCAGTGTATCAGTGATGAAAGCATGCTGACGAGATGTGAGTTGTGAATTCATATGTGAATGCATTTCAGTTTGCTGCTACTTTGCATTTTATTAATTATCCTAAATGACCATTTTCCAGTTTCACGGCGCAGTGATTGAAAATCCATGATTGATGGTGTATTAAAAATTGGATGTGTTTCATTGAGTCTGCACGAAAGTATTGGTTCTCAGTTGCAGTGTAGCATGCAAAAAAGTCTTTAAAGTAGGCTTTGGTGTTCAGGGTTGAGGCTGGAAAAACAAAGATAGCGTGTTACTGTCCCAGGCTGGCCACTGGGCTCTTATTCTTTCTAGCAGTTGTTCTGATAGTTATGCTCATTTTTTTTTCTCCCCCTTATATCTTGTTAGAAACCATGAAAATGGTTTCTCAGAAAATTTTCATTCTGCTTCTCACATATTTGGTCAGTCTCTTCTGCCACCGTTTAGGTCATCTCGTGCCAGTTCCTATATTAATAAAAGACATCTAACTAACTCTAGGTTTCATTTGCTTTCTGTTATTTGCTACAGGCTCATATTTATCCCTAGCAGTTTCCTTTTACCAAATACTGGCAGATCATGCCCTTGCTTTTAGTAAAAGTCAGTTTGCTCTACTCTGTTTCATGCTGTTTTTTCACAGCCTTGGTTTGTTGCCTGTACTGCTCTTTACCACACCTTCCTTTAGAAGACGCCAGCCCTGTGAAGGACAACAGCAGGCTACAGTTTTTGCACCCTTTACAGTTTGATTCGTCTTTAAGAGGTTTACAAAGCCCAGTTATTCTTGTGGGTGAAAAGAAGGATCCCTTCCTCTCCTACTGCAGCCTTGCATCTCGGCAAAGAAAGCACAGTAAAATTGCATCTTGTTTTTGATAATTTTATGGGTGGGATGTTGTCAAAGAAAGGTTACATGACTGTAACAACATGTCAATCATACACAGTCTTACTTTTCTTCTCTCTTGAGCTGTCATGAGTGAGGAATAATTCTAGAGAGATTAAGAAAATTATTTAACTAAAGTTGAAGAAAGACAAGAAACTGGCCCTTGCTATTTAGAGCTTTAAATAAAGTGATGGTACACAATGTTCCTAGAAGAATGTGTACTACTAGTGGTAAACAAAGAAGAGTGCCTGTTCTCGGAGCATGTTGTCAGGAAACTCTTTGTAAAATGTCTTTGGATTTAACCAAAATCTCTTTTATATGTGAATTAATTTTTATGGTTAAAAATGGTAACAAAACTAGTTAAAGTTTATGTAGGAGTGAATGTATCCACCCCTCCTCAACTGAGGAACTGAGGCACTGAAGCTTATAAATTTACAATTTTTCTCAACTCTAAACCTTAATAAAATATTCTAGATTTAATTAATTTAAAAGTGGCTTGCCTTCTGGAATCTTTGAATTGCTTTTAAAGACTTTACCTTATGCTAGCTCTCTTTCTAAATTTTGTTTTAAATTATATTTGCATTGGATTGCTGTCATATATCAGAAGAACTTACGTCTTTAGGACACCATGTAATTTCCTACAAACAGCTGCTTAATTTAGGTGTGCTATTTTTCTGAAATTGAATATAACTTCAGTATTTTAATATAAGATTTGATTGAAATATTGAATATTCAGTTGACCATCATGCATTTCAAGAGCACAGATGCTCACCATATGACTATGATCACTTCTCTAAAGGTAAATACCTTTCAAGTTTCTGTAAAATGTGACAAAATTCAAATGCAAGTTGAAATAAAAATATTTTATCTGTAGTCCTGTATTGTATATGTGAATTGTCAATACAGACCTTAGCAGTTCAGGTCTCTCCTTTCTTCTTTTGCTGTTTTATTGTGCATTTTCTTTTTGCTTTAAGGAATAAGCATATTTGAAACCTTTCTTTTTTTTTTTCCCCTCTTTATAGAGCCAGTATTGTGCAGAAGCGCATCATTTATTTTCAAGATGAGGGTTCTCTCACCAAAAAAATTTGTGAACAAGGTAAGGTAAAATAAAATATCTTTCTGACCTCCTTGTCATGTTCTGCACATTTCTCTTAACTCTTTGTATCAAGCTCAAATTTTGAAACCTTGAATAGTTTCCTCCAGGTTCAAATTTGGAATCTTCTATTCAGTTATGTTATTCCTTATCACATATACTGTTCCTCATACAGTCCTTCCTTGCTTCCCTCTAAATGTAATGCTTGCAACTTTTTACCTGGTCTTTTGTGATACCCATTTGTTTCCAGGGCACTTAGTTGATTGAATCCTGGGCCATTTCATCCTTTCCTAAACCTAAATGTTGCAGCTGGTTATTGCATCCTTCTGGAAAAGTTATATGCTTTGGCTGTCCAGAAATTTCAAACATATTGTGTTTTGAGATCAGCTGAGGTTTTGTCATTATCAGACAACAATTAGAAACAATCCCCTTTTAAATCTGGAGATGACTCAAATAGTACCTTATTTAAAATGTAAATTTCAATCATTACATCCACTAATAAATATGGTCCAGGTGTTTCAGGGTTCTAGTTTAGTGTAACAGTAAACTTAAAAATAAACAAACAAAAAAAATATACCTAACTCAAATTTATTTTCTGGAGTATTTATTATGGCAGCTTCACTGTCCTCTGTTTGCTTTGAGTTGTAGCCATTTTCAATGGGTACTTTGCTGCTTTTTCAGACTCAACCTCGGAAGGTGTGACTGACAAACCAATTTTAGATTGTTGTGCCTGTGGAACTGCCAAATACAGGCTGACTTTTTATGGAAACTGGTCAGAAAAAACACATCCCAAAGACTTTCCACGTGAGTATCATTATTTTGCTTGCACCATGTAGGGAGTGGGAAGAGGGTTGGAGCTTGTTGTGTGACACACCGTTACTTATTTGCAGCTCTGCTGTGAAAATTATGACACGGATGGAATCCTGCTAACATTCAGTATTGAAAATCAATGGATCTTTCTGTGCTATACATTACAAGTAAAGCCTATTGATTTGCCTGACATTTTGAGCTGAGGTGTTTATGAGATCATATTTTTAAAGTATCTTTGTAATGAGAAAAAATCCTTTCTTTTTTTTTCGTATTGTAGGCTTAGGCTGGTTTATAATGTACAGCTAGGAAATGAGGTTTTAAGAAAAATTCACAAAGGATGGGCAGCATAGTAACATGTTGATTTTTCCACCAGGCCAACCTAGCCAGTTTGTTTTCCTGTAAATTCTTTTGAATGATTCCAGTTAGTTTTGGTGAATTTTGAGTCTTGTTGCCCAAGGGCATTAATCGTATATATATATAACTTAGAATACTCTGTCTTCTTTGTCTTTGTTGGTTGAATACAAAGATTAAAAAAAAACGCCTTCTGAATTTTTCCTGTCTGGGTTTTTAAGTTTCTGAACTACAGAATAAATATTTTTTCTGCAAGTTTACTTTTTACAGTTACTCAAGTAACTGTAAAGAGCTGAAGTTACAAAAATGTGTGTTACGCATTTGGTTTTTCATTACTGACTCCACAGTCTGTGGCAAAAAAAAGTCTAGGAAACTGTTTGAGAACATGAGTCACATTTACGGGTCTTTAAACTTTGTTATGTTGTCTGTGGCTGATGTTTATTATATAGACTTTTTAGGTAGATTTTTAAAAAATTATTATTATTGTCCCAGCGTCAGAAGACCCTTGTTAACTCAAATGTGGTTTGTACCAGCTCACAGTTTTAACGCCCTAAGCAGTATTGCTTATGCTGAGTCTCATACATTTGAAGTTGTACATTGTTCAAATACTATTGGTCAGCATAACACATGGGAGACAAAATAAGCAAAGCCAATAATTGCAGGAATGCTCTTTCAGGCTACTGGGTGATTTATATGTTTGCTGAGAGTGACGCTTTTTGTGCCCTGTTTGTATGGATTCAGCTGGTGGTTAGAAACAGGGCATGAGAAAATGACTGAAAACTATGAAATTACTATGACTTAGTGATGTAATGCTGGGGATAAATGGCCTTTTCTTTTGCATCCAAGCCAGTGAACTCATGAAGAGTATGGGTGCATGATGGAAAATAAGCAAATTTCAAAAGTTTGTTAAGATAGCAGACTCTGTAGCCTGCTTTCCCCAGTTACAAAGTGCTGAATTAAATTAATATTTTACTTAAACTGGAAAAGTGATAAAATACCCATTTGGTGCTTACACAATTAATCCTGGTAGTAACAGCTAATAAGATTTTACATTAAAATTTCTTAAAGTTAAGAAAAAGATCTCATCCAGATATAGTAATATTAAAAATGAAAACTAATCATTGATATTATTCTTTAAAATGTTGAGATTGTGCAGTAATTAGAATAAAATAAAATATTTTTCATTATGGACTGTGGTAAATTACTAAATATTTGCCGAACCATCAAAGAAAATTCTGCAGATCATAAAACATATATTCTGCATCTTTTCCTTAACTTATTCTGTGGTTTGCTTTAAAAATCCCTAAAGAATATGTAATTTGTTGCTTAGCTTTTCTCCAGAGCACTGCTTTTTTCCAAATGCTGTTACACAAAAATGTTTCTGAAATGTACTGTGCAAAACTCTTAATTTTGGGAAGTTGTTTTTTGCGGGTTCCATGGATTAGGAATAATTTGACATTTATTATTATACCAGTGCAATTAAAATACCTCTGTTCCATTAAATTTAGAAGTATATTGTCTAGGAGTTATCAAATGTACCCAGTCTGTAAAGCACTGCTTAAAATAAAACCACTGCCACACAATCTCATTCTGAGTGTGCCAACTGCAGACTGGAGAGAGGTGTGCCACAGCTGCACAGGGGTCAAAAACTTATTCTTAAAGCAGTTTTTCTTTTGTGGACCTCAAACAGAAAAGAAAAAAATTAAAATGATTTCCAAACTAAGGCTTAAATAAAATTGAGCATATTTTTCAGGTAACTTTTGCAAGTTGCCACAACTCCTGATAACAGGCAAATGGAAACTGAGTATTTCATTTGTTATTAAATCTGGCTGAAGGGGAACTGTTAAATTTCCTATCACATTTCGCCAGTCAGAAAGATTTGTATTTACATATGCCTCGTGGCTTAAAAGTGTTTATTCTCTCTGGGTATCAGCCGTGTGTGATAACAGGAATACTTATGCTCTCCATCGTGATTTGATATGGCACATGTGTGAAATGTGTCAGGGGATATATTCTCATGTTGTGATGACACCTTGATCTTTATGCAAAAATACACATATAAGTGTATAAACCGAGAAACTACTCAAAAGTACGAAAATGGAGTGAAATAACAGCATTGGAAAGCTGTCAGTACTCTGTGTGCTGCCTTAAGAACTGGATAGTGGCACTGGATGCAAAATACCTCTGGCCTTGTACTGCTCAGATTATCTCATGCAGAGAAGTTTCTTTGATGCTTAGAGGAAAAGCTTAAGAAATATCACGTTGTCTCTTTGTTCTCATAAGGAATGGAAGGGTCAAGGTGAGGACCGAAACATTTGCAAATGTAGCACAAATCTTGAGAAAAGTTTAGGGTAGATGTGGTATGCCTCAAACAACTCATTTGGGCAAGCAGGTGGGCCAGGAACTTTCTCTTCAAAGCCAATATCTTTAGGGAGAGGTGGATGAGGCTGTGCTCTGATTGCAAAGGTGTCAGGTGTTCTTATTCTGCTCAGGATAGGGAGGGAGAGAAGCTTTGGAGCACATGGAACAATTAGTTATCCATTACCCATTTGACAAAAGACTGGAAGGTACTCTGGTTCCTCTCTGTAGTGATACAGTTTTGTTTTGTAGGGACCATGTGGAACCTTCTCTTTCAATAGGTTTCAGTGTCACTGTGTTTCAGGGTAAGCTGCTGTCTGTGGCTTGTGAGACAGTCAGACCTGTGTGCTAGGATGAAAGAGTGGGCAAAACTGGTGGTCCCATCACTGGAGCTGAGTGACAGTATCTCTCTGTGGTTTGACAAGGTGCCACCGTATATTTAAGGAACAATTGGTAGATCTTAGATCAAGAAACCACCTTCTGTCATTGCAGTCTCTTCAGCTATTACCTGTGGACGAGGCAAGGTTTAGTTTTGGTTTTCTCCGTTTAGGGCTCAATTAACGATGAGTTTTAATTGATTCTGAAAACATTAGGTCTGCTACAACTCAGAACTTATTAAGTGTATTTTAGTCCAAGTTTAGGACTAAAGAACCTATGGAAGCTCTCTTTGCTATGCAGCTAGACCATCTCCCTCATCTGTCTATTCTGCTTGCTACACATTTCTTGCTTTTTTCCCCAACCCTTGGTGTTCATTTTTCATTTCTAATCTATTTTCTACTCTCCCATGATTAGGTTCCTGCATCTGACTTTATAAAATTCTCTACACTGTCTTTTTCAATTCCATTGTCCCACCTTTCACATCTTAAATTTGCATTCCTTTTATTTACTTCATTATTCATTTTTCATTCATTTATTCAGTTTCCAGCTGTTTTTACTGCTACTCTCTACCTTTTGCATTGCAAAGAAAAGTGTTAAATATTGTCTCACTCCATCACTCTGTCTCCCTCATCTCCTACAGCCTTTTCATTGTTACCAGACTGTCTGTTTATGTGAACAGTTCATTTTCTCATCCTTTTCCTCATATCCATGTTATTTGACATTTAAGTGAATTCATTTTTATTTCTGGGACTGTGGGACTTCTGTGGCTCCCTATTTCCCATCCATTTTCTTTCCAACTCCATCATGCTTTTCTAACATTTTTTCTTTAAACTTTTCTTTTTTTTTGCTCAACAAGTCAAGAAGCAACAACAGGAATCCTTCAGTCTATCGACTCCTTTAGTCTATCTCTACAGCTCTTACACTATGAGACATCTGAGCAAGCAAACTTAGTGAATACAGAAACAGCAAAATTCACTTCTTCACTCCCTTCCTAAATCGAAGAGAATCCCTACTAATGATGGAGAAAGGAGACATGGTACATATATAATTTAAATATGCAGAAGTAGAAAAAACAGGTGTGTCAGTGCAAATAAGAGCAGTTCTTTACCAGTATTTCAAGTTTCTTGGAAGAAATACTAGACACTAGCAAATGTTTCTCCCCTGTTTCAGCAGAAAGCTGCTGGAGGAAGTTTCTGGCTGTAAGCCCTTTATAGCCCTGTACTTTACAAGGTTTGTTCACCAAGCTATAAACAGAAACCTGTAACATTTAATGACAATGTAATCATGCTTGTATCTACTTTTTGCTGGTAATCTCCTGTTTTCACTCAAACACAGATCTGGTGGGCTGTTACAAACCAGTATCTGTCAGTGAGGAAACAACTTGCTGTTAAATCTGAGAGTGACCACTGAAGTCTTCCCTTACAGGTTCCCTTCTAAAAGCTGTTTGATATGGAGATCTAAAATTAAAGGTTTCTTCAACTTCCTGAAGAAGCGTGAGATCTTTGGTGGAGAAAATATATACTAAGGCAGTATGTTCTAAGGGGCTGATTGATTAGCTGGAATACAATATTTCTTACCATTTCTGCCTTCGTTGTTATATCCAATAATTACTGACCCTTTATGCTCAATTTCTGTGGGTCACTGGCTTGTTCTTACTACTCTAAAGATGTGGTGTATTGATGTAGTGAGAGCTGACAGCGTGCAACGCCTGCAAAAGCTTGGTGCTGGTGAAGACTGAGGACTTCAAACCTTTAATAAAAATTAGGAACTGTGCTTGGAGGCTGTATTGATTGTTGTTTGCTTTGTGGTTTTCTCCCTGAAAGGCCGCACCAACCACTGGTCCGCGATCATTGGTAGTTCCCACTCGAAGAACTACATCCTTTGGGAGTATGGAGGATATGCCAGTGAAGGTGTCAAACAAGTCGCAGAGTTGGGGTCCCCAGTAAAGATGGAAGAAGAGATTCGACAGCAAGTAAGTGTATTTTAGTGCATACTTAGAAAAAAACCAAACAACTCGCAACCAAAACATCCTCCCTTGGCCTGTGAGTGATTTGTCGTTGACAACGTCTGAATGTAATTTTGCTGACTAATCCTCAGTTAAGCGGATAAGGGGATCTTCCTGTCTTTCTAGACTCGTTCTTACTCTGGCGAGAGTTTTTGTCTGTGAAAGGACAAGTAAATCGCAGCATTCTGAACTCAGAAAATCTACCTGCCCTAAATATCTGCGTGCATAGATCACAGGTAGAAAAGTAAACCTCATGTTTCCTGGCGTAATTGTGAAGACACAGATTTTGTTAAAGGAAAACCTGGAAGACACAAGAAATACCCCTTAGTCCTTTTTGAAGTGGCGGGATTTAGTTTATAGTGTATTGTAGTATTTTTATTTTCCGGTAAGCACCTTATCTTCAATTTTGTGCAGATTCATTCAAGTCAGAAATTACAAGAGTGAGGTGATTTTGTTGATGAGCAGGAAGGCATCACACAATGCACTAATGATATTTGGTGAACTGGGATTATGATTTAAGGACAAAAGAGCTTTTACAGTGTATCATCTTTTAGGGGGTTAGTTCAGCATAGCATAAATCAATCTTTTGATAGTTTATAGATGATTTTCATTTTTTTACATCAATTAACAAGCAAATTAAATATAGCAGGACACGATGACGGCTATTGTTAGGATGTCTTCCTTCCTCACTAGAAACTGAGCTTAGTTATAAGAGAGAAAGAAAATAAATATGATTACATATAACACGCAGTTATACTCACAGTGTCACATAGATGTATGTGTGTGGGTAAGAGCATATCTAATATATAGTCAGGATTGCTCCACATGGGAGAGAAGGCAGAAATTGTCCCCAGCAGCTTATCAACTTGTACAGGTAAGACAGGAGCAGAAGGGAAACAGCATTCAGTAAGAAAAGTTAAAGGCAGAACAGTTTAGGGACAGATGTGGTTTACTGGAGTCTCTGATTCCATTTTCCTCACTCTCCCCCAAATGGATGAAGTATTACAAACGAGTAGTAGTCAGGGGCAAGGTGGGGTAGCAGGGACACACTGCCAGGGAGAGCAAAATGGGAGCAAAAGGGCTTGTTTTGACATTTCATGTGCCTGCTTTGCTCTGCCAGCCTTTAACTTGTGAGAGGTGTGACTTAATGTTTAATTGATATGCAATATTTTAATGTATTCCTGGGACATTTTCTGCTTCTGCCAAATGTCCTGAGAATGAAAGATTTCAGAATAGCTGGAATTTTATAGGAGTTGTAGGGTTTCAATTATTCAATGCCTGGTCTTTTTTTTAGTGAAGAAAAGCAAAATAAATATTGTGGAAATGGAAAACAGTACTTTACACTTCAGTAAGGAAGAAAAACGTGTCTTACAATAATGAATGATTGTTTCCTATTTAGATGCACTCTGCAGAATGTTTCATGTTTTGCTTCCTGATGAATCACCTCATTTTGTGTGCAATACAAACATACGAATATATACATACAAATACATATAAATATAATAATATATATAATATATAAATATATATGCTGTTTCCCTATCAATCATTATGTATTACAAACACGCTTTCCTTAATAATCTGCTTTCCAAAGAAAATAATATATTCTTTAATTTTGAATACTTGTAAGAAACCCTCTGTACCTACAGTCATTTTTGCTACATTTATTTGGATCTTTTCTATATTTGATACTTCTGAGAGTGAAGTCAGCAAAACTTAAAGCAGTGTTTAAAATTATATTGTTGATTAATCATTGTCTTTCTTGGTAAAGAGACAGTACTTTGAGAGCTCCAAGGTAACACTTAGACGATATGCAGAGTTACACAGAGAGATTAAAAAAAAATAGATTCAATTATATTTATATAAACAGTGTAAAACAACCTCAGATTGTTTTTCCCATGAGAAAACTTGTATAGCAAAAGGCTTTATGCACTTAATTCCATTCCCACTTCTGTGATGCTTAAGTTTGTATAATCATGGTACAAGAACAGCTGGTGTGTTGGACATGAAACTCCCAAGGCCAAGAAAAATAAAATAAAAACAACTTATAACTTAATATATAAAAGGGATATGAAAGGAATATGAATGGGCAAAACCAATTTCGATGTGGAGGGAAATGTGATGATTGATATTATTTAACCCATAATAAGCCTCAGTGCACCTGGAAATAGAAAATAGGCCTTGACCCTTTGCACTTTTACAGAGAAGTAGCTGCATTTCATCTCAGCAATATGATACAAACCCAGATGGTTTAAAACCACAGCAGAGTATTCCATATCCCACATGTAACTTATAATTTTTGCCTCTTACTTGGAAAATCAAGATTTTCTCATAGTAGGCCTACATGAAATAAAGAAAATCAGATAGTTACTGTCTTTGTACTTAAGAAGTTAATTTCTTTGCACAGTCTTCACAAATACTTTATAATTAGGGGTTTGGCACATCTCAGTTGTGACTATACAAACATTAGGTCTGCTCCTGAAGCAGCAGGGTCCTGGGGAGAGTATGGGATGAAGAGCAAGTAGAGGTGCAGTTATGGAAGGTCAAGCTGAACACTGGGTTCTGTGAATCTGGAAAAGAATCAAAATCATGTCTCTCTCTGCTTTCCCAAATCTGTGTTCCTTGTGCCACATATTTGCAAAAAGAGGATGCATTTATAAGCTGGATTCAAATCAGAGGTGATTGTGACTTTTACAGTATATCAAATTGATAACTGGCTACAGTTTCAGGGGTTGCTGAAATTGGACATGAAATTAATGAAGGTCTCAGATAATTTCAACATCAGGATGTCTGACTGTGTCAATCCTGCAATAATTCCCCAGATTCTTCTCACTCAGACTATCCAAAAAGCGAACCATTGTTATAACTGGATATTACCTACAACAGTGCGGCATATCATCAAATACCATAACGTTTTCATTGAGTTTATTTGACTTTTTATTTCTTTTTAACATGCGCTTAAGGTGCACTAATATTTTTGAGAGCTTGTGAAGTAAAATTCTACAACCAAGGCAGCAGAGCTGGTAATGCCAGGAGCTAGTTTGCTGACATTTAAGTCAGGCTGCTTTTTTTTTTTTTAATTGCACTTTGTCCCTTGCAATATCCCTACCTGCCTTGAAATTTGACAGCCTTCCTTCCTTCTCACATGTCCCAGTCTACCTCAGGATCTATTTGCCTCTTTTCCATTTCTTATTCTGCCTTTCTTTCCCCTATCTCTTGTGCTCCCAGCCTTCTGTTGTGGGTTGATGGGAGGATGCACTTCATTAAGATCAGGCTCCAAGCAGGTTTGATATTTTTGAAAACACAAGAAAGGCAGTGTCTCTGCTTCATTCTGATGCCTGGACTCAGAGCTCTGTGCAGCATTTTCACAGAGGGTAGTGCCCTTCTCAGAGGACCAGACTTGGATTTGGGAATCTGCTGTGTGTCTGCTGTGTTTTGCAGGCAGTTCCTAAGGTGAATACATAGATACATATTTATGTAACCAGCATCTGTGTCATTGACATTATCCAAGGTTTTATTAAAGAGGAAAAAAATCTGTCTAATGATTTTTATGATTTATGACCAAAATAATACTGTGTATGAAGCAACAAAAAAAAGGTCTGTCCTTAAAGGAGCTTTGTTAAGAAGTGTCCTAACAATTATGTCATTAACTAAAGATTCTCAAGCGTGAATATTTCTGCTCCCCATATGACAGACTGCTGCATCATCATCAGCTTTTCTTCCTGACTAGGCACCTTTGACTGCTCTGATTTGTGTTGTTACTGTAAAGAACCCGCGTGGGATTTTTGCATGGATGACCCTGGGTACTGTAAACTTGCTTTGTAGTTTGTTTTTCTGGGAGAACTTAAAGGAACTAATCAGCCTTTTTGTTAAACTCTTCCTGGCAGCCTGAAAGGAAAGCCACAGCACATAAGAGTTTTACTAAAACAATCTGTCAAGTGGTTGATGTGTACAATAGGATAATTCATGCGTTATACTTCAGGGGTTATAAATGAACAAACAAAGGATGGAAAAGGAATTATGTGAGGAAGAGAATGTGCACTGACCTTGCATATCTCTGAAATATATTCACACTTTCACTTTGTTTTTAGAAAGTCTGATGTCTCCAGAACCTGTTATTTGATAAACTCTCTTGTCAGAAACAAATACAGAACCAGAAAGGAAAATCAAATTGTGACTGCTGTGTTTAAACAAATGAACAAACAGATACAGTAAAAACAGGAATCAGAAGGAACAAAGTGTAATGCTAGATGTCATATCCTCTGCAGATGAAACAAGATAAAACCAGAGACGTTGATTTAAATATCTTGCACCTTAAGAGAACTGATTTGGTTTTTCCTAATTATTTTAGAATAAATATTAAGTCATTTTGCCAGCTTTATTTTTTTTTTTAAACCAGGATAAGTAATATTCTGTGCCTTGCCACCTTCTCCAGGAAGTTCAGTTTGTACTCTCTACTTGTTCCCTATGGACACATAGGTGACATTCTTTCGGGTTTGGCTTAATGCTCTCTGAAATGTCAGTAAGTGGGATGACTTTTTAGATTGTCTTTAGTGGCCTGAGATGAAAGCTGACTGTGCCTCCAGACCTTTCAGAAGAGCAAGGTCTGCTTTCCAGGAAGATATGTGTAAAGTTTTTGACACTTGATAATTTAAGTTATGTGTATGAATTGAGGATGAAACCTGAAACATAAAAAACTTCTACAGAACAAAACGTATAATTGCTACGATTCCATCCTAATATGATTCCATCCAAGCATTTATCTTTACAAAATAGTTCTGGTATGGATTTTTTAAAATATATCCACATAATTTAAAAAAAAAAAAAGAAAAGAGAGTAAAAATTAAAGTAAATTCTTTGCTGGAGTGATCCTGATTGATTGATTTTTTTTTTTTTTTTTTGAGAAATCTAATTTCAGTATTACAGTTGAATAGTTACCATTTTATTACCTCTTTGGTAACACAGTGCTATATTCTTCCACA